GGCTCAATGTCCTTTATTTATGGCTAGAAACCAAATATGAGTGAGAACATCCCATGTTCCTCTTTTTGGGTCTGGCTTACCTCACTCAGGATAGTGTTTTCTATTTCCATCCATTTGCCTGCAAACTTCAAGAAGTCCTTGTTTTTTACTGCTGAGTAGTACTCTAATATGTATATATTCCATACTTTCTTCATCCATTCTTCAATTGAGGGGCATCTAGGTTGTTTCCAGGTTCTGGCTATTACAAACAATGCTGCTATGAACATAGTAGAGCATATATTTTTGTTGCATGATAAGGCCTCTCTTGGGTATATTCCCAAGAGTGGTATTGCTGGGTCCATGGGTAGGTTGATCCCAAATTTTCTGAGAAACCGCCACACTGCTTTCCAGAGTGGTTGTACAAGTTTGCATTCCCACCAGCAATGGATAAGTGTACCCCTTTCTCCACAACCTCTCCAGCATAGGCTATCATTGGTGTTTTTGATTTTAGCCATTCTGACAGGTGTAAGATGGTATCTTAAAGTTGTCTTGATTTGCATTTCCCTGATCGCTAAGGAAGTTGAGCATGACCTTAGGTGTCTTTTGGCCATTTGAACTTCTTCTGTTGAGAGATCTCTGTTCAGCTCAGTGCCCCATTTTATAATTGGGTTGATTAGCCTTTTACAGTCTAGTTTCTTAAGTTCTTTATATATTTTGGAGATCAGACCTTTGTCAGTTGCGGGGTTGGTGAAGATCTTCTCCCAGTCAGTGGGTTGCCTTTCTGTCTTAGCGACAGTGTCCTTTGCTTTACAGAAGCTTCTCAGTCTCATGAGGTCCCATTTATTCAATGAGGCCCTTACTGTCTGTGCTGCTGATGTTATACGTAGGAAGCGGTCTCCTGTGCCCACTTGTTGTAGTGTAGTTCCCACTTTCTCTCCTATCAGGTTCAGTGTGTTCAGACTGATATTGAGGTCTTTAATCCACTTGGACTTGAGTTTTGTGCATGGTGACAGACATGGATCTATTTTCATTTTTGTACAGATTGAAATCCAGTTTTGCCAGCACAATTTGTTGAAGATGCTCTCTTTTTTCCATTGTATAGTTTTAGCTCCTTTATCGAAAATCAGGTGCTCATAGGTTTGTGGATTAAAGTCAGGGTCTTCTATACGGTTCCATTGGTCGACTTCTCTGTTTTTATGCCAATACCAAGCTGTTTTTAATACTGTAGCTCTGTAATAGAGTTTGAAGTCAGGGATGAACTAGACTTTCTAGGAGTATCTGAAAAGCATATAGCAGATGGAATTTGGATCACTCACCAACGTGAGTGGTGCAGAGACAGGATGAATAGATTTAGGCCTTGGAATGTGAAAATATGATGAGTAGACATGGCTTTCTAGATTTGTAATTTATTACTGAATAAAAAGAGTAGTACCCAACAGTTTTTTTTATTATATTTTGTCAGGTTATATGAGAGAAAATTAATAATTTGACATTTATAGCATATTAGTTTTGAATCCAGAAAGATACTTATTTTTTATATTTTTTAAATTTTATTTTTATTTTATGTGTGAAAATTTTGTTTATGTGTATATGTTATGTATGTCTATGCTCCAAAGCAACTGTGATGTTAATAGTTGTCAAAAGATGGCTTCAGATCCCTGGGACTAGACTTGTAGACACTTGTGAGCTACTTTGTGGATTCTTGTGAACCTGCATCATCTACAAAATAACTTAACTGTTGAGTCATTTCTGCAGATTCTAACAAAATTTTGAAAATATCTTTAATTATGCATGACTATGAACCTGAATAATATTATTTTCAAAAGTGAGAAAAGATTTAGACAATAAACCATTATACTTGGAGAAAGATTCAATATAGAAAATTTTTCATCACCTCCAATTTTATTTAATGCTCCATGCAATGGCATTGAAACTGTGAATACCAAAAGTAGTGTTACAATTTTTTCTTCATATGTAAACCCTTTCATCTGGTAAACTAGAAAAAAATATATCTTGCACTAAAACTTTCTCAAAGTGTTCTTGATTACAGACTGTATTGCCTTAGATTGACCTAGGCTTACACATATACAAATTTCTGGAAGAGTAAAACACCTACTACTTTCCAAATGAGTGTCTTAAATTATAAAACTGAAGATGATATTATTTCTAAAACATGGAATTCCAATAATAATTATATGTTGATTACTTTGTCTTCAAAAATAGAATTATTGTCCTCATAAGTAAAGTTTAGGAAGGGTGTTTATATATCGTTAGTGCATTTTGATGATGCAGACATTGTGCATTATGATACAGACATAGCACCAACATTTTACAGTCTATAGAACTGTAAATAATAAATTTAAGCTTTTATAAATTAGGGAGTCCAGGTTAATGCCATAGAGCATACTAAATATTCTATGACATATAATATTTTGATTGATTTTCAAAAAAGCCTTTTGAATATGTTAGATAAAGAAAAGAGAAGCTGTTGCAGTTTTTCTCATAATATAGATAATAGACCTTCAAAATATGAATAATTGCTATAAAAATCTAATAATTGCTACCAACAGCAGGAAAAAATTAAATTTGTTCCCTTCTGAAAATTATTTATTTTATAGATACTGGGAATAAGAGAAATAGAAGTCTACTAATAATGTTTTGTTTTCTCCACCCAATATTGATTAGTGACATAAAACTAACCAGCACATAATTAAAGAACCAGAGACTCTTTTTTTATATCTTAATTATTTTTGAGAATTTTTCATGAATATGGTATTCACATCATTTTCTTCTCATGTATTCTCTATCTCAAACTCTGTGCCCCCTCCTCAAATCCATATTCTTTTATTATTTATGATTGTTACATTCTCTTTATCTTTCTCACTACTGAGTTCATTTAGTGTTGCTTGTATGTATATATTTTAGGACTGACCAATTGGTGTTGAATTATCTAGAAGAGAGCTCTGTGGAGTCAATGAGAAGCTGTGAACTTTACCTGGTAAGCCACAGCAATACACAGATTAATGAAGATAGGTTAATTTAAGATATGAGTTAGCCAGAAATATGCTTAAGTTATTGGCCAGAAAGTATTGCAAATAATATGGCTTTTGTGTGATTATTTTGGGGCTGATCAGCTGGGAACAAATGAACAGCCTCCTACAACAAATTAATGCCAATGTGGCCAACTAAAATATGCTTAAAACCTAAGACAGTTTGGTGTCAATGTCTAGTGTGTTGGGGTCCCTGGGTAAGAGTCTCATGCAAATCAGGACACAGGGAATGCAGGGTGTGAAGAACTGCATAAAAAGCTCTATTTTGTATGGCTTTTTATATAGACTAAAAAGCATTACCACAACTCTGAAACTCCCTTTACTCACGTACATGATCATGAGAATGGCTTACCTCACCTTGCAAGAAACAATACCTCAATTACAGTAATAAAAATGAAAAGAAGTACATAGAAACAAAGTAAAATGTATACAGAAGCAAAGCACTCCTTTGTAACTGGTAGAGCGTGAAGAACTGAGCTCAAAGGCCACTTCCTTATCCAGGGTACAGATTCTGACAACGTTTGAGAAATGGGTAGAGAAAGTTTGCTTTCATCTATGCTTGGTTTGCCAAGCAACCGTTTCCCAACTTCATCTCATCTGTGCTAGGAGGAGTCTGCACTCTAAGCCAATTCTGTATCTCCACAGTTTGGGAAGGAATTCTAGGCAAAAAGACAAAACAGAACAAAGTTAATCATGGCTTATTGTCCATAGCTTCCTTTAAGAAAGGTTTTTCTGATTCAGCAGTAGCAAAAAACAAAACCAAACCAAAAAAAAAAAAAAAAAAAAAAAAAAAAGAAAACAAAAAAAAAAAACAAGGGAATTAAAAAATATAACCTTTTTGAACAAACACGCAAGC